TGTGTGTATGTGCACCACCTGTTTGCCTGCATGTGTGTATGTGCACCACCTGTTTGCCTGCATGTGTGTATGTGCACCACCTGTTTGCCTGCATGTGTGTATGTGCACCACCTGTTTGCCTGCATGCATGTATGTGCACTACTTGCACGCCTGATGTCCCTGGAGATCAGAAGAGGGTATCAGATGTAACTGGAGTTTATGTGCACTACTTGTACGCCTGATGTCCCTGGAGATCAGAAGAGGGTATCAGATGTAACTGGAGTTTCCATCAGTTGTGAGCTGCCATGTGGGCGCTGGGAACAAAACCTGCTTCTCTACAAGATCAGCAACTGCCCTTAAACATTGGGCCACCTTTTCAGCCCCAATTCTTAAAGTTATCCCAAGTTTATGGGTAAAATTTAAGTTATATCCCAACTTTATGGGTTAAGAATCCCTTCCAAGAGCCCTATACTGACTGGGACACATCAAAGTTATGATCATTTATTTATGAGTGAAACTGTTTCCTTCCCCTAGTGGGGTATATGTCCTGCCAATAGTAAGTAATAATTTCTGTGCGGTGAAATATATACAACTTTACTTATTTCAGGACAAAGAAGCTTTTCACATATAAGCTAAAAATATTTATGACCTATTCTGTGTTGCTTCTTGAGTTCATTAAGGTGGAAAGCTGGTAACAAACGCGCTTTGACATTCTTCCAGGATATGTGCCTGAGGAAAATTAGATGGCTACTTTTGCCTTCTAACTGTTATCTGCAAGTTCAATATCAAACTTTCAAAACCTAGTAGAGTCAGATATTATGGGTTAGAGCAAGGGTAGCTAGCTCTTTAAAATAGGGAGGATTCTTAGTGTGTTCCTGTCTTAATCTGAACTGTTACTTACCGTCCCAATATGAAGATGTGAGGTCCCATGTAGTCCTTATGGGTGGCTAACAGCAGACCTGGATTCAAACTGCCTGCTCACAAATTCCTACCTTGCCATTTGCCAGATATGAGCAAAATTTCAGATGCTTTTAAGCCTCAGTTTTCTATTTTTAAAATAGTGTCAAGGCTGGTGATGCAGCTGAGTAGTAGAAAGTTTGCTTAGTGTGTATGAAGTTCTGGGTTTAATCCCTAGTATGAGAAAACAGTAAAACAAAAATCCTTGTGGTAAAACAGTGATAATAGTTGTAAAGACAAAAAATGAGAAAATATCTAAACAACTCAGTTATCACAGATTAGCTGCTATTTTGATCTTATCATCATTAGCTGGGGTTAAAAATATTTGTGTTATACCTGTAAAAACTGCTATCCTCCTGGGTTTTTGTTTTTATTTGTTTTTGTGTTGTTTCTTTTACTTTTTGAGACACAGTCTTTTGTATCTTAGGTGGGCCTCGAACTCTTTGTGTAATTGAGACTTGAAGTCCTGACCCTCGTTCATTTACCTCCCTACCAAGTGCTGGGATGACAAGGCACCACATTTGGTGCTCCTCTTTTAAGTCAAATCTGGAGAAACTATGTTGTATCAGTGACATATTTGATCACAGAATTTTTAAAAATTTATTACTAGAACAAAAACAAGTTTTTATCATCATGTCGGTCGTCAGTTTCAATTCTTTTTATTGTTCTTTTTGGTCTTTTTTTTTGCCATTAGAATAGAGTTTATTAGCAAAGGAACACATGGGACAGTCTTTTGGTCTTTTTTTTTTTTTTTGGAGACAGAGTCTCCCTGTTGCCCTAGCTGGCCTGGAACGCACTATGTAGACCAGGTGGCCTTGAACTCACAGAGATCTGCCTGCATCTGCCTCCCGAGTGCTGGGATTGTACTGGGATTAAAGGCGTGTGCCACCACGCCCAGCCCAGTTTCAACTCTTATGGCAAAACTCTAAGACTATTTGTGCTGAGTTTAGCTTGACAAATTACAGCAGACCTTTGAAATACAATATACTGTTTCTGTTAGCTGACTGACATCACACACATAGTCATACTAGGCTTTTAAAAGTACATTTTAGGTATTGGGGCCTTTGCTAGGTGGTACCCAGCAAGCACAAAACACAGGTGTGTACGTGTGTGCGTGTGTGTGTGTGTGTGTGTCATATACAGTCATGAAGGCTTTGGGTTCCAATATATAATGTTGAAACACAAGTGAATTATTAAACAATGAAATAAAACTGAGTGGCTCCTAACAACAGTCTAGAAACATGTTGCAGGCCATTGCACAACCCAAACTTTTTGTTTCTTCTGATGATGTAAAACCCTGTGGAAGAACATGCTTTAAAGAGGGTAAGGTCTGGGCCTTTCAGTAAGCGTTCGAAGGTGTTTAATTTCTTAAATAATCACCGAATCTTCATTCGGACTCCAACTTAAACTACTTTTTAAAAAACTATGTATTTTCAATTTTAAAATTTTCATGTGTATGATGTACTGCCTGCATACATGTAAGTGCACGTGGAGATCAGAAGAGGGTATCGGATCCCCTGGTACTGGAGTTACACACAGTTGTTAGCTATTATGTGGGTGCTGGGAGTCGAACCACGACTCTGGTCCTCTGCACGAGCAGGCAGCGCGCTAACCCCTGCGCCATCCCTCCAGCGCAGCTCAGCCTACTTCTAGCAAGTTTTCTCTCCTGTCCCAAATCTGTGGAAGGTGGACAGGAAAGACGCCAATCTGACAGGTGGAGGCTGATCCAGGGCTTCCCCTCCCAGGCCCACCCCTGCTCCGGCCCCGCCCATCGCTCCGTGGCCGCGAAGCGCTAGCGCTGCGGCGTTTTGTCCCGCGCGGGGCCCCTTCCTCGGGGGCGGGCTGCGGCGGCCTCCATGGCGGGGCCGACCGGGCGGTGAGAAGAGGCGGCGGCCTGTAGGCCGCGGGAGGCGGAGGCCGCGGGCGGCGAGGGACGAGGCG